AAGTACACAGCTGTTTCACCCTCTTTAGTTCCAAGAGGGTGAATACAAGGACTACTTCCTTTTCCAACAGCAGTATCATGGAACTCCTGTGGGAATACTAGAAGGTCATAATCCTTTAAAGAGTCAGTGGATTTCCCCACCACTCTGGCATAAGTTGCTTTTGTCGATTGGGAGTCAGTCAAAATGTCAATGGAAGATGCCATCAACCTTCCAAAACAAGCAGGTTATGATTTAACTAGACAGTAAAGACTATCCAGAAGTAAACAGAGAAACCTAAGAGAGTATTCTCCCAAAGAAGCCAGTCACTTCTAATACCCAAGGAGACAGTAACAAAAGGGACCAGTGAAGTTTTCCTCCCCAAAGGGAGTTCAGCAAAAAATGAAGCCTCGAAAAACCAGTAATGGGATAAAAGAAGAAGAAGCCAATGGAACAATGCCACTAAAGTTTAGCTACACTCCATCATCCTGCCAGAAACTCTAGCAGGGCAACATCCCCAGCCGCCAGCATCCTGTATATATATTTATGTATGTATGTATGTATGTATATATATATATATATATATATTTACATACATGTATTTAACATACATACATATAAATACAAACATGTATATATACATACATACATATATATACATACATGTCTATATACATACATGTATACATACATACATACATATACATACATGTATACATACATACATACATAAACATACACGTACATAAACATACACGTATACATACACATACACGTATACATACATACATACATATACATACATTTATGCATACATACATACATAAACATACACGTATACATACATACATACATATACATACATGTATGCATACATACATGTATACATACATACATGCATACATATACATACATGTATACATAGATAGATAGATACATACATATACATACATGTATACATACATACATAGATACATACATATACATACATACATATACATAGACATATACATACACATATACATATACATACATACATACATACATACATACATGTATTCAGACATACATATACATACATAGATGTATCCATGCATACATACATACATATACATACACTCATACATATACATACATGTATGCATACATACATACATACATATAAATACATACATATACACATATACAAGATAGACACCAATCCCATGAAAATCCAATAATTTTTATAGGACACATCAGCTTGACTAGTGATAACAAGGGTTTAATACATAAATAATAATATTATAATGTCATGCATACTTCATGCACCACAACTAAAGCAGTGAGTATAACTCCAACATGTCCACCAGTATTTATACACAACTATGAATTACAATGATAAAATCTAGCACAATAATACTATAACAAAAGAATAAATATTAAAAACACAAGAGAAAAAAGTAAATTGACATTAATGAATAATAAAGAAAGACTAAGTACTCATAAAATTTATTATAAATAATAAATATAATCTACTGCAAATATATGAATATAATTTAAAGTGCATGACTAGCAAATTTGTAAAAACTAAAACTTTAATATAGATAACTAGTATAACACTCCTAACAACAAATGATATATTTTTCCTCTAATAAACAACAACTACTTACAAGTGTTAAGTGGCCCAAAACTCTTACTCTATAAAAGATCCACTAAGCTGTGTTAAGTAGATGTTCTATGAATCGAAGATACAATAATATTATTATTATTATTCTTATAATGGCACAAAAGTTTATTTATTTTTCCTAAAGAATAATTTAAAAGAATGAGTTAATGCTTAAGAGAAAAGAGGAAAATCTCGATTGAGCAAAGAATGGATTGACAACAAAACTAAAGCAAACGAAGTGAGTGAGGAGTGCGGAGTGAGACAAAGTTACAAAGAATTGACAACTTGTGCAAAGGGAATTCTATTATGCCATGGGCCTTGCTCGCACTTAAATATAGTAATGAGGCTATAACTTGAGCTTATAAGAAAGAGCACGGGAAATCGAGCACAACAAGCTTAATTAGGAACGCAGTAGAGTGAAGCATGGAAACTCGTGTGAATCACATGATCAAAAAGGGTAGCACGGTGAAGGCAATCGTGGGAAAAAGACAAAGGAAATAGGAAATAACAAAATTCTTAAAATTCAGGATGGGACCTAGTGAAGATCACGAGAGGGAAATAAAATAGAATCTTTAGTTCTTACATTTGTGCTACACTTGGGTAAGAAAAGTTAAATAGAAATAGAATGACTTCATTACTGTTAAATAGCTAGAATATTCACTGAAGGTTTAGGAAGATAAATTTAATGTTGATGTGTTATAGATGTTATGATTATACTTTGTTTTATCAAAGTTACAGTATATTGTTATAACCATTATGATTTTAATTTTAGTATATTAAAATGATTATGCTTTGGGTTATAACTTATTTGTACTCAGTTTGACTTCAAAATAATATAAAATATGGTTTAAACATGGTTCTTTTTCAAATCAAATTTGAGCATTGCTTGAATATTGCTAAAAGCATATTTGATTAGAGTGTAAGCTTCATCTAATCTTATTTAGACTTTCATTTAAATATGATCCTTTCGATGCTATTTTTTGGTTGGAGGAGTTGCTCGTAAGAAGCTGTCGGTCACTGGAATCAAAATCTCGTCGTCCGCTTCGGAAGGACGTTTTAATTTACATATATATTTTGTTTTAGAAAAATAAGTTTAGAAAAATATGAAATCAAATTGACCTCATATTTTTTATAGTTTAAATGAAAAAGCATTGTACCTCAAACCAAGTACCTTTCCCGAAGAATAAACACAAGACCTGAGGATGAGGCTCGATCAAATAAACTAAGGAATATATGACATCTGTTTGGTCTGCGAAACCATTGTATTTGTTGACAAGTTCCTCTATTTAATATAAAAAAATAAATAAGATTTATATTAAGTTGGGTTTGTACATGCTTCCTATAAGGGCAAACCTCTATAGTTAATTACATCTTAAACGACCAAAGTCACCTAAGAAGACTCTTGATAAAAATCATGAAATATTATCTTCAAGGAGTTTCAAAGGGTAAGACTTTTCAATGAGAATCGGACAAAGAGGTGTGAAATTGGAATAGCTCAAATTTGGAACATTTATTTTTGGATTCCAAATGAAGAAAGACTAGGGGATTGCATGGATCCTCAGAAGAGCCTCAGTGACTTTCCAATAAATCCTATGAACTTCATTTCTGAGGAGAAATATTTAAGTGTTTTATCATGCCAATTTTATTAGTTAGGGCTTACATTCGTGTGAAACGATCACACAAATAGCCTGAAAGATGTGAGGATTTAGGTCGTGACAAACGACAACCTCGGAATCCTAAGACGAGTTAGGGCTTATATTGTATAGCAGGGCT